AAAGTTGAGATTCAAATTCAATCTAGAAAAATTCATATGAAAATAACAAAATTCATGTGTATGTGCACTAGAAGACAAAATTGCTGTGGTTGTCTTCTAGCACATATGCACCTGAAATTGGTCATTTTCATGTGAACTTTTAGAAAACGATTTTGCATCTCAAATTTTGTGACAGTGAACATTTATAGATGCACTACATGTGTGCATCATTTCAAAAAATTTGAAAACTTCTAGGTATGTACTTCAAGAGGGTTTTCACGATTGCACCAAATATTTTACCATGCCCTGTATTTTTCTGATATTTGTTTTCATATGCATTTGTGCCTTCTTTGCTGTTAGGTAACACATTGGCACAAAATCATCTAGTTGGATTATTCTAACGCTGAACTGCAGTATTTTAAATAATGACAGACACTGTAACATACTTCCTCCGTCCCAAAAAGAATGCAATTCTAGGTGCATTCTCGGTTAAATGTGCCTAAAGTTTGACTAAATATATAGATAAAAATATTGATGTTAATTATGCCAAATAAGTATATTATGAAAATATATTTCATGATGAATCCAATGGTATCTATTTAGCTCGGTAAATGTGTAATTTTTTATATAAATTTGGTCAAACTTGACATACTTTAACATAGCACTGTTCTAAATTGCATTCTTTTTGAGATAGAGGGAGTACCAATCTTTGTAGGCTACTATCTTTTTTTTTTGTGCAAAAGATGTTGTATTGAAGAATTTAATTCAATGTGAAATCTTCTTTGTTGTAAAAGTGCATTGAAGACAGATTTTAGGTTTGTCCTTCTTTTCACTCCTACAAAATGACGCACACATTGCATCAACCATGTCACTAGAAACTAGATGGGGAGGGATACTCCCACCTGACTTGTGACCTCTCCCCCATCTTCCTCCATGGTCCCCTTGTATCTGGTGGCTTCAGTGTGGTCACGTCATCTTAGCCACTTACCTAGGGAGGGTCCACAAAGGTGATGCACCAACAGCAGCGGCAGTGAACCAAGCTATGGCTACTGCTGGAGTGCTGGAGTCTGGAGAGATAGATGGTAGGAGGAGCAATGAGAGAATATTTTTCAGAGTGATAAACTGAGACACTGAGCGCATCCATGTGGCATCTCAGTTAGGGCCAACATCAGCCACGGTGTGAGGTCTTGAGTGACCTTACCCCTTAAACTAGTTCTGTTATTCATTTAAGGAATGCATATATTTTATGATATGCATGCACCCACCTAGCAAATTTACCTGTGCTGCAATTTTCTCTGATATAACAAAGATTATGGGACCATTTGGATAAACATGTTGTGGGACATGTAGTCTTAAAAACATACCTTTCATTTTAAATTGTATCCTGACAAGACCTTCTTTTGACTTCTGAAAAGGGGTGTCTACCCACCTGCTGAGGAGTACATGACTTATGCGGAGAGGTCCAATGAGAGCCTTGTGGAAGTTTTCAAAAGTATGAATGTGGAAGAAGTACCAAGTGAGAATGGAGATGATGCTCATGAGGTATTACATTTTGGTTGGTTACTAGCACAGTTTATGTGTTGGATTGGTTTCTGTTTTTGATCATCCCTTTGAACTCATAGGAACAGCTGGGATCATCTCAGAAACATATGCATATATTTGCTGGTGCCTTAATATTATTTTTATCACAGTTGCTTCTATTGCTTTTCTACTTTCTTAAGTTACTGCATGATGCTGACACCAAATGAATTTCTACAGGTCATTGAGGATGACGGAGTCGAGGAAAGTCAGGAGGATGCTGTTGAAGTTGAACCCGATGATTCAACAGATGGCGGTGTCCTTGTGAATGGGAATGATGGTGAGGAACACTGGGGTATGAACAATGAAGGAACTTTTCATTAGCATAAAGCAGTAGTAGTGGAAGTGTACACTGTACAGTCCAATAATCTTTAGTCATCTCTTTTGATCCCAAGCTCAACAAAAAATATATGTAGGTTAACTATCCAGTGGGTGGGTGCTAGTGTCTCTATTATACACACAGTAGTATCCTGTATCCCTTGCCCTCACCTGTTATCACTAGAATGCCAGCATGTATGTGTTAGAAATCCTTTGGAACAAGAGGAACGTGATATAGTACATGATGTGAACATTCATAAACATCATTGTTAAGAACTGGCTACGACCGTAGCTTAATTTATCTGCAGGGCTCACTATCAAGTATTAGATATCTAGTGGATCTTAGGAAAAGGCTGTACCATTATCGTAATTGAAATCTTAGTATAACTTTCTGGTAGAAGGGAACTGTTCATAGACTGTGCACAAAAAATTACCCCATTAGGAAGCTTAATATTTACACAACGAATCATGTCATTGTTTTGATGCTTTTATGTTGGACTTAGCAATTTGAATTGTCGATCTAAATTGTGTGGATCATCTCAAAGCTGTTTTGACACCCAATAATTAACCTCTGACATGGATGGATAACCCAATTACGGTCTTTCTTACTGTTTGCTCTTTGTTTTTCCTTTTCAGTGCTGACTCCTGACCAATAGTAGAGATATTACGACAACATTCTGCACCAGCAGATTAGTTGTTTTTGTGTAAAGAAGGTAAGTACCATTATGTATAACAAGTCAAAGAAAAATTAAATGGTCAAAGAATACTGTGCTCCCATATCCTTGAATAAATCTATGTTGTATACTTGTATGTAATGTTTTCTAGGCCTAAGTAGTATGTAATATTGTTCATGTTTGGCATGTCAAACAAAATATCTGTCCACGTCCCAGGGTAGACCATCAATTTTCCTAGTATAATTTGTGGGTTTAAACTTTCTTCTCACAATTGTAGGTCGCCACATGTTGAGACTCGATAGTCATGTAAAAGAAGTTCCTCTCCATTTCTACAAGGCGTTGTAAGTGGTCTAGCATTGAGGTTACAGAAACAATTCTGGATGGTAATTAGCATTTGGTCTAGATAACAAATTTTGCAATTCGATTCTTTTTGGGTGGGCATTGTAGATTTGTGGTATGTTATAGATTGTCTACCCTTGTATGTTTACCACATGATAAGATACTAACATTCTTTAAGGTTGGAATTTGTTCACCGACACATGGGCTGCGCCCTGCATAGCATGTGAAAGTTGTATTTTTGGTCTAAACAAACTCTTGGTTTCCCCAGTTGTCGATAACTTGATCCTTGGTTTCTGCTATGTATTGTACTATACCTTCCGAATTGTAAGTTGTTTTGATTTTTTTAGATGCACTGTTTTTACTATGTACTGTATTTAGATACATATTTATCTAGTTGTATAATAAAAGTATCTAGATAGAAAAGCTAAAGCAACTTACAATGTGAAACGAAGGGGGTAAAAATAACACATTTTTGGCACTTAGTACAAGTTATGACTCGTATTGATTTTCAGCGTTAACAGATCTTTCATTGGCTATTATGTTGCTTGGCCAAGCAAAAACTGGCGTAGGATAAGCATCGTTATGCATTTCCTTCCACTGTCCATGGATGATGAGAGCTCAGGCAAAGAATGCGTGTTGCAGCGAATGGGCCTGTGGTTTAGTGGTAGGGTTGTCCGGTGGGACACTACCTACTAGGGTCCACATCTTTTTTTTGAAATTTTTCAAGAATTTTTAGAGTACGCGTGTGCGTTCGGTGGTATTGTGCGTTTTCCGCGCATTGGAAGCGACGCCTAGTCTCTTCTTTGTGTGCGTGCGGTGTGAGTGTGTGGGTTGTGTGCGTCTAAGTTATACCTGATAAAAAAAACGCGTGTTGCAAATGACCATGTCGTACTAGGCCGATTGGCGTGACGCGGGAACATATCGCGCCAGTGGCGTGTCATCCACCCACATCTGCACCAATCTTTCAGCATGTGGCATTGGCATCGTCGTCGCCGGCCCGTGACACGATGGAGTTATCTTGTCACAGCTACGCCTAACAAAAAAAAAAGAAATTTGTTTATAAACATTATTATTTAAAAAGAGGTTAAGAAAATGTCGCATCGCATGGCGTGTTGTTCCTTTGCGCATCCCTCACAAAACAAAGAACTGAGATGTCGGCTACGCTCGGCCATGCACCAACAATAAATTATATATAGGTTGCTGCAATGGGACGAACATAACGTATAATAAATCTTTTAGACACGTAGCAATCTTCGGTTTTCTCTAACACTAGTACTAATAAGTCTTAATTAATAATAGCACTCTTTGGTGGAAACTGGTGTGAACGATCTGTGTACATCAAAGAGTATTTCTAATAGGCTATATATAGGTTCCGCTGCAATAGACGAACATGTTTAGTGGTACTAATAAATCTTAACTAAGACGTAGCACTCTTCGGTGGAAATTGGTGTCCGTCTCCTATAAGTAAAACAAAATCTAAGTCTTATTTAATAACTAGTACTAATAAGTCTTAACCACCAAACACACGATAGCACTATATTTGGTGGAAACTGGTGTCCCAAAACACTCCTAAATAAGTTGCTTGAAAAAGAGTATCATCTAGAAGAAAGTTACGAAGAACAAACTATATATTGACCCATGTTATATAACTAGTAAAACAAAATCAAACGTTAAACAAATAACAGATGATTCTGTCGACAAGAACCACCAAATGAAAGAGTCGATGTCATATATTTAGAAGAAAAGAACAGCAGTCCCAAAGCTTGAAAAACAAATGATCTAGAAGAAAGTTACGAAATGCATCTTGATTGAGGAGAGAAGGAACAAATGAATTATTCTTGTCCGTCCCCGACTTGTTTGACGGTAAGCACTGAAAAGGTGTCCAATTTTCTTTCCCCAGTGCCGTGTGCCGTGCCAGTTAAGTCACCCAGTGAGGCTCAAATCACGCGGCAGCCAGTCCTGTCCCCCTCACATGACTTCAACCATACTAGCAGTTTGCATTCCGAACAAAAGTATTTAAGACAGATGGCCTAGGTTTAGTTGAGACTCGAGATGCAATGCATTACACATACATACTACTCACATAGTTCACCTCTTGATCATCTTAGTTCAATGGAGCTAAAACCTTTGACAGGTAAATATTGGGCAGCAGCAACCCTCCTGCTGCTTGCAGCTGCTCTGATGCTTAGCACCTCATGCTTCGCCTCTTCCATTGCCAAACCTTCACCTCCTGCTGCCACAGCCACCACCAACTTCTCGGACCTCTCCGTGCTCCTCACGTTCAGGTCACTCATAACAAAGGATCCCTTTGGAGCGCTGTCCTCATGGGGCAACAAGTCGCTCCATTTCTGTAGATGGCAAGGTGGGAAGCATGGCCATCGTCGTGGTCGCGTTGTGGGTCTCGACCTCGGCTCCCTCGGTCTGGTCGGTACCATCTCTCCTTCCATCTTCAACCTCACGTACCTCAGAAGGCTCCACATGCCAATGAACCAGTTTAGTGGGCACATACCACATGAGCTCGGCCTTCTTGGTGATCTTAAGCATCTAAACCTGAGTGACAACGCTCTTGGGGGAGAGATTCCGGTTGATCTTTCTCGCTGCTCAAAGCTCCAGACCATAAGCCTGTGGTATAATAACCTCCAAGGAACAATTCCAGCCAACCTAAGCAGCTGTTCAGTCCTCAGAACAATTGAACTTTTTGCTAATTATCTTGAAGGAGAGATACCGAGTGAGATTGGTACACTGCAAAATCTTGAGCTCCTCAATCTTTTTGACAATGGCCTAAATGGGAGCATTCCCCCTGAATTAGGTAACTTGAAAAAAATTATACTTGCTTGATCTGAGCAATAATGGCCTTACTGGCTCCATCCCAGCAGCAATTGCCAAGCTTCATTCTTTGCAGTACATGGACTTCGGGAATAACAAACTGACTGGATCTGTTCCAGCTTCTTTAAGCAATCTCTCCTCGTTGTCATGGTTGGTTCTAGAAAACAACAGTCTCTCTGGAACCATCTCACCATCATTTGGTGACCTTCCTTATCTTAACACTTTCAGTTTAGCAGGCAACAACCTTGTTGGGGACATCCCTCCATCATTAGGTAACCTTTCTTTCCTCACTGAACTGAGATTTGCAAGAAATCATTTTAGTGGTAAGATTCCTCATTCCTTGGGAAATCTTTATGGTCTTAACCATCTCTCTCTAGGAGTAAACATGCTCACAGGCACCATTCCTCCATCATTTGGGAATCTTCTTAATCTAGTTTATCTTGGTTTGCAATTCAACAACATCGTGGGGGTGATCCCGCCATCGTTATTTAACATTTCCTCTCTTCAGAAGTTGGACATGCAAAATAACAGGCTAGGTGGAATTTTGCCAGACTATTTTGGAGAGAAGTTTCCTCATCTCCAGGGACTTGCGTTGAATGGAAACAAATTTCATGGCCACATCCCTTTATCACTTTTCAACTGTTCAATGCTCAACATAGTTCAATTAGATAATAACTCGTTCTATGGCACAATTCCTTCAAGTGTAGGAAACCTCAAGATTTTGTTGAAACTGCGCCTGGATTACAACATGCTAGAGGCAAATCAAGCTGCTGACTGGGCCTTCTTGGATGCTTTGACAAATTGCAGCCATCTACAAGTCCTGCAATTGAGTTTCAACAGGCTTAAGGGTGTTCTACCGAACTCACTCTCTAATCTTTCTACCAGTCTGGAACGCCTTGAGATTCTCAACAATGAGATAGAGGGAAATATACCAGAGGGAATTGGAGGACTCACCAATTTAATGGCGCTTTACATGGGTCCAAACCTCCTCACCGGACCCATACCTTCTTCTCTTGGTACGCTTTCAAAATTGAATGTGATATCTCTAGTCGAAAACAGACTATCAGGAGAGATCCCACCAACACTTGGAAACCTCACTCAGTTGATTGAATTCTATCTAACTGGCAATGAACTTACCGGGCAAATTCCTCCATCTCTTGGAAAATGCTCATTGGGTATATTAAGCCTTGGTAATAACAATCTTACCGGCAAAATACCAAATGAGGTTTTCTTAGCCGACACAATAATAGATTTAAGCTTCCAGAACAACATGCTAGTAGGCCCAATACCTTCAGAGCTTGGTTTGTTGAGGAACATGGTAGTTGTTGATTTCAAGGGTAACATGCTAACTGGTGAAATTCCTGTCTCCATCGGAGGCTGTCAAAGCTTGCAGTATCTTTATGTTAGACAGAATCTCCTTCATGGTTCAATTCCTTCTACAATGAAAAAGTTAACAGGCCTTCAGGAGCTGGACCTTTCAAGCAACAACCTATCTGGGACCATTCCAGAGTTTTTTAGCAGCTTTGCTGGTCTCACATATCTGAACCTCTCCAACAAATTGATAGGTGAAGTTCCAGATGCTGGGATATTTCATAATGCAACAGCATTCTCAATTGTTGGAAACGATGGTCTGTGTGGTGGTATCCCGGCAGTAGGTTTGCCACCATGCTTGAAGCAATCAACAAAAAAGAAAAATTTTCCAAGGTTACCAGTAGTGGTGTCAGTGTCAACAATTTTATCTCTCATCTTCATATCTTTTCTCATATTTCAATATGGGAAACATAAATCTAATAAAAAACAATTAGATCCAATAGCTTCTAGCAGCCAACTACCAAGAGTTTCTCATGCTGATCTGTCAAGAGCAACAGATGGGTTTTCCACAGCAAACCTTATTGGTGAAGGATCTTATTGGTGAAGGAAGATTTGGTTCAGTGTACAGGGGAAATATGAGCCTCGGCGAACATAGTATTGTTGCAGTGAAGATACTCAAGCTCCAGGAGAGGGGAGCATCCCATAGTTTTCTTGCAGAATGTGAAACCCTAAGATATCTTCGGCATCGGAATCTTGTGAAGCTTTAGTTTTTGAATATCTACCAAATGGCAATCTGGACAAATGGCTGCATGTTAACAAGGGCGAGCATGGTGGTCAACAAGCTCTGAACCTTTGTCAAAGGCTAAGCATTGTCATCGATGTAGGATCTGCAGTGGAGTATCTTCATGATTTCAAGCCAAAGCCAGTTGTCCACTGTGATCTTAAGCCAAGCAATATCCTTCTGGACAGTGACATGGTGGCTCATGTTGGCGATTTTGGTCTAGCAAGGTTTATAAATAAACAAGATAGAAATCAATTTCAGTCATCAGGATGGACCGCATTTAGGGGGACCTTTGGATATGCCGCTCCAGGTGTGCAAATTTATCACATGCCATATTGATATCAAACATTTCACCACTTATGTTCACTTGTATACAATAAAATGATTAGTTGTATTCAATTGAAAATGGTTCCACAATTGCACTTCACCCTTTTTTACCCTTCTGTTTGGAAAGCAAAATATTTTACACCCTAAAGTACATTGAAACTTTGTGGAATATATAAATCATTTGAGATAATTTACAGTTTGATCTGTTGTGACATTTTTCCATTTGCATAACTTGTGCGTTATCCATTATCTGTTTTGGCAATTGGCATTAACATCAGTGATATCTAAAATTTTATGTCATCTGCTTGGTATTAACACACTGACTTTTGACTTTCATGCAATCACACTCGCAGAATATGGAATTGGCAATGAAGTTACCACCTGTGGAGATGTCTACAGTTATGGAATACTTTTACTAGAGATGTTCACTGGAAGAAGTCCTACTGAAGAAAAATTTCAGGCAGAATTCAACCTTCATAGTTTTGTTGCGGCAGCATTTCCTAATCATGTTGAGGTTGTAGCTGACCACAATCTCATTCCATCAAGTGAAGACACGGAGAGGGACCCAAACTCACTCCTTAACAAGGAAGCAACACTCTCATGCCTTGCTTCCATTCTGAGGATTGGCCTCATCTGTTCAAAACAACTACCTGCAGAGCGGATGCAAATGCGGGATGTTGTAAAAGAACTTCATAAAATCAAAGAAAAACTCTACCCATTAAGAAACAATGAAGGCACATTCCAAAGTCAGATAGCAGAAAGAACACAGGAGCAAGCACATTGAACAAATCTATGTGTAATTCATAAAGCCAAGTCAATCTTTCTGAATTCTGATTTATGCAGACGAAATTTCATTTCGCACTGATATTATCTTGTCAGTTAAATCTAGTTTGTTAATTTTAATAAATAAGAAGGATAGTGACTATGTGTAATACATGTGGATGACACCCCAAGAAATATCTGAAGCATAGTGCCAATATAAAAGAGCAATTCAGTTATACCTGTCGATATTTTGGAATGTTATAAACCGAGGCCCAGCTTATTAGACTAATCATTTCCTCTTATTCTCTGGGCTTGTGATGATTGGAGCAACAAATCCTGAGAGAGGAATCAAACCACTTCCCAGGGCAGATCTTCTCTTCAAGCACCTTTCTTGCATCATCACCTGAACCACACGCTACTGGTACGCGGCTCCACGCAGCAAACTCTGCAAAGGTGGCCGCAATGTGTCCACGGCATTCCGTCGAACACCTTGTGCGCGCTATGGAAACAGCTACGAGAAATCGCACCACGGGCTAGAGAAACAACAACGGTAACGGCCGGAGACGGGAGAGGACAAATCTATTTTTCGCGGTTAGGCTGGCGCTGCCTAACTTTTTTTTTTTGGTGGTGTGGGAGGGACTAGGGAGGCATGGAAGTGGAAGGTGTTGGTGCTTGGTGGAATGGTGGTGGCGGCTCTCAGCTTTTCAGCTTCCTGTCGGCACAGGACGAGCCGAGGAGGTGAGGAGGCAGCCCAACGCTGGATCCCATATTAATTGGTGAGCTCACACCTCATCGTCACCGAACTTGTTTGGCTAAGTAATACTAGTATACCAATGCTAGTTTCCGCCATGAGCTCTCAGGTGTGTGTTCTCAACACCAGCCATGTCCATCCCGTGCAAATCGACGGTCTGTCGCCGCCGTGCCACGGCGAGCACAAGCTGTCCTTCTTGGACCTGCTGCAGATCTCCAAGACAATCCAGCGGTTGTTCTTCTTCGACGGCCCCGACCTCCCGTCGGTCGTGACCGCGCTACGGTCTTCCCTCGCCGCCACTCTCGCAGTCTTCCTCCCCCTCGCCGGCAATCTCGCCTTCCGCCCCGCCTCCGGCGACGTCGTCCTCGACTTCTCCCCCGCCGCCGTCTCCTCGGGGGTCAAGTTCGTCGAGGCCGAGTTCTCCGGCGACGCCGACGGACAGTGACATGGCGCCGCGATTTTGGTCTAGCAAGGCCAAGAGATCGCATCAGGATGGAGCACGACGACACGCAGCGTTCATGGCAGCTCGTCACCCGGATCTCGGCGAAAAGGCAATTGCCGCACCTTTTTACTCGTCTGTGGAAAGTAAAATATTTTACACCCTAAAGTCACAAGGCCCGATAATTTACCGTTTGAAGTTGGACAGCGGTTATCCATTATCGTTTTGGCAATTGGCAGTGTCGATCCCGCACGCGGTGGCACTGACTTTTGACGGCCAGCGGTGTGGCGGTTCTTGAGGGCGTGGTCAACGGCGTCGCGGAGAAGGCCCCAGGCTCCTTCTAGCGGCGGCTGGCATTTTCATGTTGTCGTGCTGACCACGACGTTTGACACGGAGAGGACCCAAACTCACTCCTTAACAAGGAAGCAACACTCTCACGCCTTGCTTCCATTCGGCAAAACCTAAAGCGGATGCCGAGATGGAACTTCATAAAATCAAAGAAAAACTCACATTAAGAATCAATGAAGCTTCGAAAGTCGATAGCAGAAAGCACAGGAGCGCCCGTAATCTTTGAGTATTTATGCCACCGTCTCTTCTAATCAATTAGTTAAATATTTTCGTAAAAATTGATCTACACGAATTGAACAATTGAACAGAAATATCCAGTCTGCTTCATCCAAACCGGAGATCATGCAAACCGAGGCCCAGAAGAACCTTATCGCTTCGAGCAACGCCGACGAGATCCGGTCCTCAAGCTTTCTTGCACATACTTGAAAACAGCTACTGGTACGCGCCCACGCAGCAAACTCTGCAGCGCAATGTGTCCACGGCATTCCGGCGAAACCGTCCAAACCGCCGAAAGCACCTACGTGGTCGTCTCATCTAGGGCGTGGACGTCCATCGGCGCGTGCCAAGCCCTCCATTCACGACGGACGACGACATCCAACTCATGGTGAGCTCACACCTCATCGTCACCGAATTGCGCATGAGCTCTTAAGTGTGTGTTCTCAACACCAGCATGTCCATCGCGTGCAAACCGCGGCCTGTCGCCGCCGTGCCACGCGAGCACGCCGCCGGGACCTGCGTGAAGCCGTGTTCTTCTTCGACGGCCCGACCTCCTGTCGGCCGTGAGCGCGGGCGGTCTTGCTCGGCGCGCAGTCTTCCTCCCCGGCGGGCGCCTTCCGCCCGCCTCCGGCGACGCGTCCTCGACGCCCCCGCAGCCATCCGGGACGCGATCGCGCAGCGACGGCATGACCGCCTCGCCGAGCTCGACACGGGCGACGTGCAGCTCGTCCCGGACACCGAGGAGCTGGATGGCGGCCTACCGTGCCGCCCCGCAGGAGAGGTTCGTGTCGATCCGGCACACGGTGGCAGTCGGCCAGGCCGGTTCATGGCGTTCGAGACGGACTTTGGGTGGGCGTGCATCGACCCGCTGCCGAGATGGCCCGCACGGTGTTGCTTGGTCGCGCCGCATTCGGTTGGCTTGGTTTGTTTTGTAATTTGGTTCGTGAAGAAATTGATCACACGAATTGGATGGTTTGTGTGAGAGAAAAAGCACCTTACTTCGGTTGGAAATTTACGATCGTTTACGACAAGCTACGGCGAACCGTCCAAACGAATAGGCCCCCGTGTTGTGTGGACGGCGAGATGGTGAGCCGCTGCTTCACGCGCCGACGACGGGCGGTGGCAGCAACCGCCTACGCCCGCGCTCGGGGACGCCGCGGCGCGATGGAAGCCTTCTTCGCGCGGGCCAGCGCGGGCGACCTGCGGCGCGGCAAGGGCGGCGGCGCGCGTGCGCCGCCCAGCTTCTTCCTTGCGCACTGCGGTGGCAGGTGATACATAGCACGATAATCTGAAGCTGGATCGCTTTGCCGCCCGATAATGCCGTCGTTGCACCGCCCATGGCGTCCCGGACTTTCCCCGACCCCACCACCACCTCCTCAACCCGACGGCGGTGGCGCAGACGCGGCGATGAAGGCCTTCGCGGCCGGCTTCACCGGTTTCTTCCATTTCCTGCGCGGCAGTGTGACATAGCACACCCTCGAGGGCGATCGCCGCCATCAACCGCCGGCGACGGCGCGCCCTGGCGCCACCCGTCGCCGCATCGCGGACCTCGAGGGCGCGCGCAAAAAAGCGGCGAGATCGGCGTTGTCAAGAGGCGAGCTCAGGCGCTCACGCGGCTGTCCGCGGCGGCGTTACCGTGTTGGAGGTTGTCATGACAACTCCAGGAGTGCTCGAGGTTATTGAATATATTTGCAGGAGTTATCCTTCTTTAACATTCGGGGTTGGTACCGTCTTAAATGCTGCTGATGCAAGGAAAGCCATAGGGGCTGGTGCATAATTTCTTATGAGTCCTGGACATATTTCATGATCTTAGAGAAAGTAATGTTCTTTATATTCCAGGAGTTTGACACCCAGGCCCAGTTCGCTTCGCTGAAAAAACAAGCCAAAACATTGTTCCGACTAATTTGTTGTGAGAGAAAAACATTGTTCCGGCTGAAAAAACAAGTTGAAAAAGACGGATTATAAGAGAAGCGAATATGGCACAAGTGAAGTTTTATCTGCTTGCAGTGCTAGTGCAGAAGTTGACAAGGTGTACCCAGTTTCAGTGATGGGTGGAGAGACGTACATGTCAGCTCTGAAGAAACCATTTCCTCTCATACCCATGGTTGCTTCTCAAGGAATTAAAATTGGTTCAATCAAGGGGTATATGGAAGCAGGGGCATCTACAGTGGTCTTATCTGATACTATTGAAAGGATCAAGATGTCCAAGAGGGGAGATAAATTGGGCTAATTCTAAATTTCTTCGCAATAAATAAGTCCTATGGTTAGCCCAATTAACCCCTTGTGCCTAGAGAAGTGTTTCTATTGATCTAACGCACAAAAGTTTAGCAACCTAGTTCCAATTCTACTCTAGCATGACAATTCTAGGAATGTAAATGACAAGAATTGAAATGCTCAAAGTAAATGCTCAAAGTAAAGAGAGGAGAAGAAACGCGGCGATGTTTTGCTGAGGTATCGGAGAGTCACCACTCCTCACTAATCCTCGTTGGAGCACCCGCGCAAGGGTGTAGGTCCCCCTTGATCCGCGCAAGGATCAAGTGCTCTCTACGGGTTGATTCTTTGACACTCCGTCACGGTGAATCACCCACAACCGCTCACAACTTGAGTTGGGTCATCCACGAGCTCTCCGGATGATCACCAAGCTCCCAATCACCATCAAGCCGTCTAGGTGATGGCGATCACCAAGAGTAACAAGCACGAACTCTCACTTGACCACAACAAGCCTAGGGAGAAGGGTGGATGCACACTTTGCTACTCTTGATTTTCACTAATGAGGGCTCTCTTTGGATTCTCAAATCTCAATCACCTCACTAGGACCTTGCTCTTCTTGGCACTCTCTAAGGTGTGTTTCAGCTGTTGAAATGAGTAAAAGTGACTCCACACACGAGTGGAGCTTCTATTTATAAGACAGCTTGAAAACGAACCGTTATGTGCCTCTGCGGGGTGACCGGACGCTCCGGTCATGTTGACCGGACGCTCCGGTCAGTCCAACCCGCACACCAATGTTTACGTGTTGACCGGACGCTGGCAGGGTCCGGTCACCACTGACCGAACGCGTCCGGTCCCATTTTTCCCTCACTGGATGCTTATTGTACTCGATCGGACGCTGGACCCTCAGGGTCTGGTCAGCACTGATCGGACGCGTCCGGTCACAGATTTACTCTTCTGGAACCTTACTGGAGTCAACCGGACATTGCCTCTCAGCGTTCGGTCACTTGACCACTCAGTGTCCGGTCGCACCAGACGCAATCTCCTTAATCAAATGAAC